AAACTGTCACACTTGTGTTTTAGAGATTGTATAAAAAGGTACGCTTTGGCTGTTCATGTCAACCTCACTTATTAAGTTTAGGAATTTCAAATGATGCAATTACATTCGAGTCAAACTATCACACTTGGTTTTTAGGGATGGTATAAATAAGGTACGCTTTGGCTGTTTATGTCAACCTCACTTATTAAGTTTAGGGATTTGAAATGATGCAATTATATTCGAGTCAAACTGTCACACTTGTGCTTTAGAGATTGTAATGGAACTTACTGTTCGTTATTACGATTAGTGCATACTACATGATAATTAATGGTGTTATATTGTTCATTAATATACGAGAACTTAATTTTGATTTATCTCCAACTCTCCATGAGCATTTATTTATGCTTCTTTGTGACTCTTGTACCACGATGAAACGCGATGGCTAACTAAAAACTTATTTTTTTTAAGTGGACTTGATTTTAGTATTGATATATATACGCTTCAAAATTTTGACTATTTTCTGAATTCTTCTGTTGGAACTTGAACGTTCGCAGTGACACCCGCTATCCCCAATTGACTACCCATTCTCGCCATGGTAACCGGAGGAGAGAGTATCAGCCGAGAGAATCAGAGAACAAATATCAAAGTTTAATTAACTGAAAAGGAAAAAGTGAACAGTACGTCATCAAAGCTCAAACAAAGTAGTATAAGAATCCAATGCCGAGCGTAATCCATGATTGTGGCCGGGGCCGGGGTCACTGAACTTGCTGCTGCGGGAAGCTGTTCCACTGATACATAAATTGGCTGATAAGACAGCTGAAGCTGTTTTATTATGAAAAAAATACTGTAGCTGATAAGTCGAAGCGAACAGGGCCGCACCATCGCAACCTCCCGCTTAAAACAGGACTGACGCTACTGGACATCAGCGTAGTCCATGCCACTTGCCACAGCCGCGACCTTGAAGAGCCCGGACCCTGGAGACAAGCAGTATACGACAGTAGGAGATCGAACCCGTTGCCCTCTCTGCTGAGTGCAGAGAAAAAAAAAAGGCTGAAAACAGCAGGAAGGCACCGGAGTTGCCAAGCAAGCAGACGGGCATCGAGAGCGGACAGCCGGACAGGGACGGCTCGCCGCTCGCCACGGACTCGGAACGAGCGAACGGACACGGACGGGCGCGCCGGGAAAGCGACGGCAGCGTGGGGCGGAGACGCCGCATCGAGAAGGCGGGGGAGCCTGGGAGCCGGGGAGGGAGACGCGTGAACTCCATCCAGGTCCAGGAAAGCGTGTAGCGCATCATCGTCACCCGATCCCCACTCGGTGCGTCACGCGCAGCGTCATGCGCGCGGGCGGGGGCGGCGAGCTGTCCGTCCGTCCGCCTGGTCCCGCCCGCGGCCGTCAAAGCGGCTCGCTCACCCGACGTGACCACCCCGCGGACACGGTGGCCCTTTTCTTTTCTTCTTCTTTTCCTTTTCCCCCCCTCCCTCCCGTCGTTAAGCACGCCGCACGCGTCAGCTATGCGACGACACGCTAATTAACAGCTTCCGCGCTTTGTTTAGTGATCCCGGCTCCGGATTGGTGCGCGCATGCAACTGATTTGGGAGAGCAGGAGAGGCCGGCGGCTGATGACTCACTCGCGTATAATATGCGCCCCTGGTTGCCATTCCGGGTGGTGCTAGCCAACGGATTTCTATTTCTATATCCTCTGTCGTTTTTATAGTACTATAACACGGCAAGGAATCATAATTCACTACTAGTGCTAACGCTGTCAGCGTGAGATCAAACTCTGCTGGAGTAGTAATCGGAGGTTTTTGCGATTAATGGAGCAGTGGTGTGAACGTGAAAAATTAAGTTCACACGCCGTCACCGTTGGATAAAAACGTGAGCGCCAAAAGGATTAGGGCCTGTCACTGCGTTTTGGAAACAACCTGTGCCATTCGCTAATATGTCTGTTCTCGCATTCATATGACATCGAACATCCAAATCCAAACATAGAAAAAAAATGATATGTTGTAGGGGTTTGTGTTTCATTTTCCTTAAGAATAAGGGAATGTCCGGTCATAAAATAAATGGCAGGCTCTTATTTTCGTATCAGTCTAGTTTTATATGTAATACATATGTCAGAGCATTTTCAAGAGACCTTTTATATAGTTTTTATCACAAAATTTAGAAAATAAACAAAAAAAAAACATGCTTAAGAAGACTTTCTAAACTAATGTTAATTTTTTCCACTCTTCAAAACCACCATTCTCGCTCTCCACTTTTGAAGAGGCTATATGGCTCTCTAAATGCAATATATGATAAGCTATTAAAGTGTAGAGAACAAAAAATGGAGAGTTTGTTGGAGACACAAGAGATACATAAATAGAATGTTCGTTGAATAGCTCTCCAAATAGAGATTTGGAAGTTGGAAGCTTTGGCAAATCATAAAGTGTCGTTGTTAACTGAGATACTGACCTTTTCTTTGTTGAGGGTTGGAGGTATAGTTTGTCTTTAGCCATGTATTGCATGGTTTCGCTTTCTCTAAGTGGCTATGTTTTTTTTCTAAAAAAATGAATACATTGGGCTATAATGGTCTTAAATTTAGAATGAAATCTAGGTTTATTTAAGGTGCTAGCTAGAAGGAAAAAAATAGAATCAATTCACATGGTGTTTTCAAAATGATATAGCTTGTTAAATTCTATAAGTTAAAGATATGGCATGCTTAAACTTTTTATTACCAGGAGGACACCCCACGCTTTGCAGTGGGACCTTGGTAAGAATAATTCTTGCATGTTCTCTAGGCATATGTGACTATTACTGTGTTAGATCTAATTGGGATCGGGCAAATTAATGGAAGAATACAAGAAAAAAAAGATAAATCGGACATCAGGCGGAGTGACCTCGTGTGTGGAGGTGTGGAGCGTGGAGGGGAGGAATTGAACTACCTCGCATGTTTCATGCATTCCTACACCCATTGAAATGGAACGGATTTAAGGGGTGTGGGTAAGGATGAAAATAGTCGAGAACTCCTTTAACCGTTTCCATGTACACATTTGGCCAGTGGGACCAGGATAGCCAACAACATGAATGAAAACATATATGTGGTTATACAAAAACAAACAAATATACTAAAATCAACTAGGATCATAATCAGGTATAGTGTGAATATGCAGCATGCTAAAGTGCCTCACGAGCATTTCTAAGGACCTCTCAGGAGTCAGGAGGACTTTCTATTTTTCTAAAAAACGAGGAGTACTTGCCGTGAAACCCTAATTGTTTCTTTGAGAAATGTTGCTAGAATAATAATTGCTCAAACTTATCCTGAGTTTTATAGATACGGGTCTATCCAGCATAAAAACGAGATGGGAAACACCTCTTTTCACTTCTAGTCCTATTTCCATATTTTTCGTGAATACGAAAACATGTGAGATCAATGTAGAAAATAAATGGGATTTATCCCATCATTTTGAACCTTACATGGGGGAGAGCTTGAGCACTCAAGTTTGCACCTAAGTTTGATACATTCACTCTTGGTGGTGTCCTTAAATTATCATGTACCTATGTTGGATCTATACATGCATATATGGTATAATCATTTGTGATGGCCTAGAAAACGCAACACCGTGCATGCTGGAGCGACCTATGCGCCAATAATAATTCTTGTTCTTCTTTTCACGTAATTGTTCTTTAACACGGCAATGTTAGATATTCTTTTCTATAGACTAGACCTTACGTAACATAGTTTGACTTCAGAAAACCTTAGAAATAGTTACATTTTTTTGCACCAATGAGTAAAACATTTTAAGGATACCACCAAGAGTGAATTATTCATGTGTGATTCTATTTGCTCCGTATATAATGCTAAGGAACTTTGTATAAGTAGACTAGTACTGTACATGCTATAGAAGGTTTTTCAATATCTGTCACCTCATAACCTTATACTTTACCGAGCTTTGAAGCACATGTCAACGCAAATGCGCTAAATAATACAATAACACGCTGTAGGGCCTATATCACCATCGGTCAATCCATTTCAATCTAGGGCCCCGTTTAGATGTGAAAATTTTTGGCTTTTGGCTACTGTAGCATTTTCGTTTGTATTTAGCAAAAATTATTCAATTATGGACTATTTAGACTTAAAAGATTCGTCTCGCTAATTACGGGCAAACTGTGCAATTAGTTATTCTTTTTACCTACATTTAATGCTCCATCCATGTGTCGTAAGATTTGATGTGACGAAGAATCTTGAAAAATTTTGGATTTTGGGTGGATGTAAACAGGGCCCTAGTTCCGGCTAATACAAGTCAAACCAATCGCCCACAGCGCAGCATTTGAATATAAGCTGAGCCCCCGCCCCGTACGGAACAGCCGCAGAAAGAGCAGAGCGGAGTACTAGAACAGAGCACGGCACTGGTGTGTCATTGTGTGCAGCGCCGGGTGAGCCAAGCGACGGCGCCACGCAGATCCCTCCCCCACGCCACTGCTGGTCCCACCCGTCTGCCCCCCAAACCGAGTGTATCCGGCCCCACCAGCCCAGCGCCGTCCGATGGGAGTATATACTAGCCCCACCGCTGCTACTGACCGCGAAACCGACCAGTCGAATCGGCGTGGCGGATAGAGACGGGCGCGTGTGCTAGAAGCCTCGCCCAATCGCGCGCGCACACGGACACCGCCACACCGGACACGAGATCACTCGGCTTCCGCTACTCGCTTTCTCCGTTCTCCCCAGCCGCGTAGGCCGCGGTTGCGCCCGCCTGCCCGCGCGGTCACCCACCTTCCCTCCCACCTTCCTCCGGGATACCGCGTGCTCCTCCGCCCCGGTACCTATATATTCACTCCACCCGTTCGCTCCCCTCCCATTCCCAACCTCGACATCTCTAGATCACTTCCTCCTCGACAGCACAGCGAGCTCGATCATCATTCACCAACCAGATCAGATCATCATCGGATCATCCAGAACCCAGAGCTTCTACTTCTAGATTCTAGAATAGAACATCGATCGATCGGTCCTTCCCTACAGCCTCCACACCGTCATCACCTAGATGAGCACCTCGTACACCGAGGCGCAGTTCGGCTCCTTGTTTGACCTGCCCGCCGGAGACGACCTCACGTCCTGGTTCACGCACCTGTGCGGCGAGGAGCAGCCGGCGTTCCAGGCGCCGGTAGCTATGGCGGACCCCAGGAAGAGGAGCGCCGAGTACGGGCTCCTCGAAGGCGAGGCGTCCGGGGTCAAGAGGCAGCGCTCCCCGACCACCAGCTCCCGGGAGAACAGCGCCGGCAGCAATGACGGCGACCACGAGCACACGTCCGCCGGTGGCGCCGCCGGCGCGGGCAGGGGCGGCGGCCGCCGGCTCTGGGTCAAGGAGCGCGACCACGAGTGGTGGGACCGGATGAGCAGCCCGGCGTGCCCCGAGGACGAGTTCCGCCGCGCCTTCCGCATGTCCCGGGCCACCTTCGAGTCCGTCTGCGAGGAGCTGGGCGCCGCCGTCGCCAAGGAGGACACCATGCTGCGCGCCGCCATCCCCGTCCGCCAGCGCGTCGCCGTCTGCATCTGGCGCCTCGCCACCGGGGAGCCGCTCCGCCTCGTGTCCAAGCGCTTCGGCCTCGGCATCTCCACCTGCCACAAGCTGGTCCTCGAGGTCTGCGCCGCCATCAAGGCCGTGCTCATGCCCAAGGCCGTGCAGTGGCCCGAGGCGCCCGACGCCGCCGCGGGGGTGTCCGCCAGCTTCGAGGCCGCGTCGGGGATCCCGAGCGTCGTGGGCGCCATGTACACCACCCACATCCCCATCATCGCGCCCAAGGCCAACGTCGCCGCCTACTACAACCGCCGGCACACCGAGAGGAATCAGAAGACCTCTTATTCCATCACGGTGCAGGGCGTGGTTGACGCGGGCGGAGCCTTCACGGACGTCTGCATCGGCTGGCCGGGCTCCATGTCCGACGCCGACGTGCTCGACCGCTCCGCTCTCTACGCGCAGCGCGGCGCCGCGGGCCTGCTGCAGGGCCAGTGGGTGGTGGGCGGCGCCGGGTACCCGCTCATGGACTGGCTGCTGGTGCCCTACACGCACCACAACATGACGTGGGCGCAGCATGTGTTCAACGAGCGGGTGGACGGCGTGCGCGCCGTCGCCAGGGACGCCTTCCAGCGACTCAAGTCCCGCTGGGGCTGCCTCCAGAAGCGCACCGAGGTGAAGCTGCAGGACCTCCCCGTCGTGCTCGGCGCCTGCTGCGTCCTCCACAACATCTGCGAGCGCGCCGGCGACGCCGTCGACCCCGACATCGCGTTCCAGCTCTTCGACGACGACATGGTCGCCGACAACCCCGTGCGCTCCACGGCGGCCGTCGCCGCGCGCGACAACATTGCCCACAACCTCCTCCACCGCAACAGCAGCGCCGCCGGCGGCCCTGGATTCCACTTCAAATGAACTCTGACGGCAGGGATGTGAGGAAAAACAGCTCATTTTCTCTGCGGGATCATCAGAGAAGAAAGACGTCACAAGGCTCAGGAATCAAATCATTTTTTTTGTTTGCCATACTTCTTTTAGTCATGGTAAATTTGTCGGACGGAGAACAGAGGGCGATTCTTTCTTCTTTTTCGCTTGTAATAAGTTGGGAACAGAGCAAGGGGAGGTGATAGTGATACATACATACTAGGGTTCAAAGATACAGTAGGTGGTTGGTTGATAGGATTTGAGATTGTTCTGCAATTTTTTTAGAATCAAAGATTCAATCATCATTTTTCAGATTTGGTGAGACTGTAGCCTGTATAGTCAATACTGTTGTGCAGGCTATTTTGCCACCAGACTTTGTAATCAATCAGTTATACAGTTAACACAGAAGTTGATTTCGCCTCTCCAACCTCGGAATCAGATTCCCCCTTGTTCACCATGTGTACACGCGAACACGCGTTATTTTGTTTGGATTGTTCTGGGCCAAGCAGCACAAAGGAGATGTTTATCAGAACAAGGAAAAAGGAAGGCACGAGAGATCTTTGAATTGACCACAGTCAAAGCAGCCGTGTCGTTCTTTGTTTAATTATATATGGAAATAAACTCTGACGAGGCCAGGCAGCATAAAAGAAACCTGATGATGCAGGCTGTCTATTAGGTGGCACTAGTACGAACACGTATACGGAGTACTATTTGTGGACTTGAGATGATCAGCTGAGCACAGTAGGTTTGGAAGGAGGCTTGGCCCTATTCGCTTCGCTGAAAAGCCAGGCTGAAAAGTGATTTATTATGAGAGAAAATACTGTACCATGGCTGATAAGCCAGGCTAGCATGTTCAGTTATGTGATCTGCTACTGCAAGGGCCTCTGTTACTGCTTGTTTTACAGGTTTACTGAATGAAACAACATGAACCAAGTTAGTTGCACACTAAATGCTTCGAATCTCTGATGGTCACAGATTATCGCCTCTCTTTGACTCGGTTTTTAAAGAGAGGATCTTTTCTTTACTATCTCACCTCAAGGAAATGCTGGCGCAAATTTAGCTCCAAAAACAAATAAAATTCTGCCATCAGAGTCTGAACACAGAGCACAGAAAGTTCAGGTAACTTTAGGAAGGTCGGCACGACGGTCTGGGTCGTCTGGTTCCAGTGCTCCGACGACTGTTACCAGCTATATTAGTTGACAAGAGAACTTGTAATTAATTAAACCGCGGGACCGTCGTTTTCTGCATATTCAGATAATAATAACGAGCTAACGCAACGCTGTAAAAGTAGATCAGAGAAGCAGTCTCATAGAAGAGTTGACCTATTGTGCTGTGCCAAGAACATAACCTGCAGTACCACCAACTTCCAGTTCTTTTTTTTTCGAAAAAAAACCAACTTGTAAAAATTCTAAAAGCAGCACCTCTGTTCACACCATGACATTGACAGAGATAAAAGCTTTCTGTTTTCGACACTGACGATGACAAAGCAAAGCAACTCCATTAGTACTAGAATTAAGCACGGGTCTCATGGGATCGAGTTGACTGCATGGGAACGCATGTACGCACCGAAGCTCCGTATGGACGCAGGTTGTTTTTTGAGATCGCGGAAAATCTACAGACCGGATCAATAGATCATCGAATGGTTGACTAGCCGTCCAGCAGATCACAAGCCAGCAAAGCAACGATGATGTCGTTGTTCGGTACGGCCATGCGGAGAATTGGACAAACGAGCAGTAATTTCACCGGAATGAGCATATTTGGCCCATCTGGCTCGAGCATGCGGCCACCAAGGAGACCACCGTGCCAACATTACTACAGTCTACTGTATCTATCTACTCCAATTGCAGTCTACAAAGCAGCCCGGTCAACGGTCAACGAATCAGACACAGATATGAACTGAATCGCCAAGTCGTGATCGTCTTTCAGAAAAGGAAAGGCACATGTTTCAGGGCCTAATTTAAATCTTCGCTTAGGGGATGCGTCATCCGCAAGTCTTGAAATGATTGGCGCGCACCATCGATCATCATTTTTTTTGTTCTTAACATGATCCACACGAGATTGAGCCTATTTTCATCGCGTACCGAAAGTTTTTTCTTTTGAAAAAAAAGGTTTCTCCATGCGCATTTCATGCCTTGAAAAACCTCTGTGGCCTTGCTCAGAGCCCAAGCGACCGACAGCTGCTCAGTGTCCCTGGTATCTGTTTTTCTTTTTTCTATTTATGGAAAGAGTTCCATATGAACTCAAGCAGACCAGATATCGGCACTGGCCAGCTACTAGAGTACCAAGTTGTTTACATCAGAGAAATGCACACCTAGTGTGTTTTTTTTTACAAAGATTGCACACCTAGTTGAGCAAGATGATGAGCTAAACTACAGCATTACAGACCCAAGGTGCATCAACCACCGTTGCATGATTGCTACTCAAGACTATCCATTCCTGGTTCTACCAGTGCCATGCCCGCATCTGCAAAAAAAAAAAGGAGCTTGGAGACATGCTTCAGCTTCCGTGTTCAAAGTATCGAAAAAAAAGCTTATGTGTTCAAAGGCGATGAAGTTTTATATTGCGGATATTGCAAGCACGATTTTTTTAATTTTAACACTTTTTTTAAACTAAATTTAAATCTAACACTGTTTTTTAAACTAACACTTTTGGCCGTATCTATTGTTATGGCGCGACGAAATGCCTGTGCCGCATCATGCATGGTGACGCAACAGGAGGGTGATGTGGCGAAGACCGGGGCCGCTGACCGGTGACGTGGCAGGGTCTGCCGCGCCACCGATCTTGGCGCGGCACTGACGCGCCACGGCACACGGCGCGACAGGGTCAGATAAATATTGCCCGCGAGCCGCCCCTGTCCCCGAGCCGCCCCTGTGCTTTCATATTGTGTTCATATTGCATAACAAGTAGTTCAAATTTTACAATGCTACATAATGTTAATTTGAATATTGTTAATTTGAATACTCTAACTCTTTATTTATCAATTTGTAATAGGATGGCCCCTCCCACGCAGCACCCGTTGTATCCCATTCTTGAGGTGGAGTATGACGACCAACACCGAGCACACATCTTGAGTGACACCGACGCACAGGTGGCCTTGCCTACTTTGAGGCCCCGCACGTACACCAGGGCGCACCACACTACACCACAACACCGCTTCACCGTCAGACATCTGACGATAAAAATTATATTTGGCGATAGATGATCTGACGCTAAAGATAACTCAGAGACCGTCTAACGCTAAATTCTCATTTAACGATTTGTTGTCTGTTGCTATAGATATTGATATTTAACGTTGAACTGTCTGTCGCTAAAAATAAGTATACCGGCACTCTGTCTGTCGCCAAAAATAAGTGAGCCCCACCACACCGCTGGCTAAGAAAAAAATATAACGCACACCAACCCAAACAAGAAAAAAAAATAAAAACAGAACGCACACATCCACCAGGAAGACGCGCTCCTTATCCCTTCGGTAGCTCGGGTGCTCGACGTCTCTCCCCAGAAGCCCGACGCAGCTCTCGCTCTCTCCCTCGGTCTTCTTCTCCCCAGCATGCGCTCTCTTCTCGCGCCTCCTCCGGAAGCGCCAACGCCGGCTCCCTCCGCATCCTCCTCACCTGCGCAGGGCCCTGCTCAACCCCCCCACCCCTTCGGCTCCTTGCGGCAGGGCCGCACGCTCCGGGATGGGGCGACCGAGAGCCACGCCTGGCATGCCGCCACCGCCGCGCCATGGCCCGCTAGCCGGCTGGCCAACGCCGTCGTCCCCAGGCTGGGCGAGCTGGCTGAAGGCCGAGCGCCGTCGCGCGGGTCGACTGCAGCAGTGGCTCAACACCACACTCGTCCCGAGCCAGGATGGGCCTGGATGCGGGCTCGATCCATGTCGTCTCCGTCCGATCTACATCGTCCAGTCGTTCTAGTTGCTCCTCCATCTCGTGCGGTCTGCAGATCTGATATGCATGTCCACGGTGAGCCGTTTTCTGCCTCAAATGTGTGTACATATGTTCCTATGGATGAGTATTGTATATGTATGAATGTTTAGGTGCTGTGTTTAGAAGATCTAGGGTTAGAGTTATGTGTGTGTGTGTGTGTGTGTGTATATATATATATATATATATATATATATATATATATATATATATATATATATATATATATATATATATATATATATATATATATATATATATATATATATATATATGAAAATTCTGTGTTATTTGGCAATACAGTGTGATAATTTATAATAGTCACACTGCCATTCTCTAGAATTAGTAAATTGGCAGTATAGTATGTTTCAAATCAATAGCTTAGATGTTTTCAGAACTGCAGACCATGTCAGACCTGTCAGACTAAACAATATTGTTGAATTTAAATGAAAAAATAGCGAATTAATGTTCAAAGTAATTGTCCCGAAACCTTTGTTATCTAAGTAATTGCATTCGAAGATTGGTCTTCTCTGTTCTTTCTCACAGTTCAGAGGTCGCATGCAGTCATATGGTTGTCTTCTTGTCATTTGTAAACCAGAATTGTCTTCTTGACTTACAATCCATTGTCTTTTTAGATGCACAAGATCCTATATTGTAAATGTCAATGGTTACTTTTACCTTCTGCTTTATGTTTTTCTCTCTCGTACTTAGACGATATGTGCTTTCTTAAGTGTCTTTTGGAATTAGACATTGTTTCCCAATAGCTAATCTGAGTATTGATGTCTGACAATGATGCAACTTAAAATCTGTAGACTACTCTTGCTGCTTCTTATTGCCAGCAAACTCAAGCAGTTAGGTTAGGTTCTAAATAATGTCAATAATGTTTAATGATAGTACCTTGAAAAGTTAGTACTGTTGTTGCTAGGAGCTTCTAGTAGTTCTTATTATAAAATGAGTTCTTATTGGGAAATCCTTTTGTATATCAGCAGGCTGCAGGCACCTTGGCTGATGGCTGATGCTCATGAATTTTCAGGAACCAGGAGGCCTACTAATCCTTCATCAACTTGTTCTAATGGCGCACCCGTTTCTAATGGCGCACCCGTTTCTGGGAAACAACACATGTATAGGCACATGTCTAGACCTTTTTAGTGCTGATGGTATAATGGGCCTCGGTCGTGGTCAACTTAGCATAATGGATCAGCTTGTTGAAAAGGGTGTCATAAGCGATTCATTCTCATTGTGCTATGGCGGTATGGATATTGGTGGTGGTGCTATGGTGCTTGGTGGAGTGCCTGCTCCTTCTGACATGGTTTTTTCACATTTAGACCCTCTCCGCAGGTAATGTATGGTTTCCTATATGATAACCGATCCTTATTCTTTTTGTGGTACATATTTTTATTAGCTAATCTTAAATTGGCAACAGTCCATATTACAACATTGAGTTAAAGGAAATACATGTTGCCGGAAAGGCACTATGGGTAGATTCAAGGATCTTCGACAGCAAGCATGGGACTGTTTTGGATAGTGGGACCACATATGCTTATTTGCCAGAGCAAGCTTTCGTGGCTTTTAGAGATGCTGTAAGCTATTTACACGTCCATACCTTTTCTGTTGGATCTTTGTTCTATTGTAGTTATTTTTCCTTCATGTGACATCAATTTGCTTGGAGTTCAGTTTTTGCAATGTACCATGTAAAAAAGGCAGTCTAGCTTCAGAAGCTATCAATAGTATTTGTGGCTAAAACTGCATGCCATTTTTTTAACTTTTCCGCCTTGCATAAAAGAAGTTAAACATCTCAATGACACCTAGATAAATTTACACTTCCCTAGATAGAATCAAACTTCTACTTTAGCACAACCTGCTTTTTCTCCTTGACGCCTTTTCATGTCCATTAGCTAATAACTGTATCCCTCCTTTTTCTCTTATTCTCTTGGCTGTTGCTCTACAAACGAACTTCTGGATTATAAGGACACTGTTGACTGGTGCACCTACAATTCCTTTTTGTTTGGTTTGGTTTTGCATGTCATATCCCCTATTAATATATCTAATATTGATGCCCTGTACTATATATATATACTTTCTTTTCCCTTTTCATTGGTGGCTCATGGTGGGTTTCAACTCTTGCCTACCCCAAGTCATAATTTGCTAGGGACTAAAAAGCTTTGTTGTTGTTGGTATTTGGAAATGGACAGAAGCTCTCACTTACACCTGAAAATTATTTATTCCGGGTAGGAGAAATTGTGAACTAAACTGATTTAGGATATAGAAATCTCCCTCCCTCCCTCCCTCCATAACGGTGAAGAAAAACACGAGTCTGTTGTTAGTTGTTACTATGTGCTATGAGGTCTACAGATTCTTTTGCTTGTTCTTTTTGTTGCTATGAGGTCCGTTTATTTAAATATGTTTCCTTGGCTATAACAATTGTCTGAATGAAAGGTTCTTGATTTTCTTGATTCATTCAAAGGCTGTAGTAAAAATAGTCTGTTTCTATTACAAGATCATGACAACAGTTTATTATTTTATGCATTTAGAAACTTAGCCATTTTGAGTAGCTAAAGTAATGACCTTAATGGCAGGCATCATTGTTCGTAATACACTTGTGACCTATGACTGTCACAATGAAAAGATTGGCTTTTGGAAAACTAACTGCTCCTGCCCCTAGTAGCTTGCCAGGTTTGTGCCTAATTATTTTAATTTCTATTAATTTCACATGTATTATATGATGAATGACAAAATATGGATATTTGTTATATTTCACTTGTAACTATCAGTTAGGGATCGATTGTTTTGATCTGCTTTGTTGGTGGCTGTTTTGGTAGTTATGAATATGAAGCTTGATAGGGCTGAAGTTTTTATATGAAATGAGGCAAACAATCGATCTGCCTCTCTTGAAGGTCCTTTAAGCCGCAATTTGACCCATGCTTTACTCATTTTTTTTGTTTACCTACTTAGTTCTTTGAGTTTGATGGTACATTCACCAGTCTTTATGGCTTGCACAATAATCTGGTCCACATTTCATATGCCTATAGTAATTTGTTAATAACCAGGCTGATTACTGTAAGCTAAAGCAATAAGTAAATATTTTCTTAATTGGTGTTGGTTATTTTTTTGGTCAACAATAGCACACTTTATTTTTATGTAGTTTAAATAAATATTATTGTTCTGGATAGGAGCAATGGAAAAACACATAAAGTCAAATGATCACGCTACCTAAGAGGGCAACATAAACCCACCCAACACTTGAGGAGTACAAACAGCAGGGTATGAGCATTATGCCTTTAAACATTTTTCTGGAAATAAGAGAATTAAAATTGGAAGAAAAATGGAATACAACCTCAGAAAGTTGAAATCTCTAAATAAACAAGCTCAGGAAAGAAAAATTCCTACCACACATGAGACTTTGACTTCTTGACAAATATCCACCAAACCCACAGAAGAAGGGTTGTAAACTCTCCTGCTAGATTGTGGAGAAGAGGCAAGAAGGGTTCTAAACTCTCAATGCTAGATTGCGGAGAAGAGGCAAAAGAGTAGCTTCAGCCAAGACCAAACAAAACAGTGCTATAAATAAAGTTCTCTTAAAACGCCAGCCACTGGTTGCGAGCGTTAACCTAGAAAACTAACTTGCACAGAAAAGTAAATTATTCAGTATCTTCTTCTCCTGCAGAGCAGGAAAGAGATGGAATAACAACTCTATAATAAAATACTTGCGGATGGTTTCTTTGTGATTACTCATGATGTCGGTTATTACACAGTTTCTAGTATATGTCTTAATTGCTCACTTGAATTAATGAATGTACAGTTCAAACCTTCATATAGAAACTTTCCTCCTAGTAAATTCCTCAAAAAAGCAAGAATTGAATTAAGCTTACCGCAATATATTCCTCATAACTGATTCTTTAGCACCCTCAGTGATCTCTATCTTCCACCTCAGCCACCAGCCGTGTGGCTTCTGTCACTGTCAGGATGGCTGCCAATGCCACGCTCTTCTCGAAACAGAGTGAACTGTCAGCCTGCTGTTAGTATGTTACCTGCCTTGGTAATGGCATTCCTGTCTCAACTGCCATTGTCCTTGTCACTCACTCCCAGTTTTAGCAACAAGGAATAGGTGGCCATAGCTGTCCACATAATCAGTATATGTTTTTCATCTGTTGATTAAACCTTGAGCAGTTCGATATGTGCTTTAGGTGTAGTGCCTTAATCTTCACTTGTAAGAATTCTCTCTGGACAGTTCCCAGAGATTGTTAGTTATGGTAGGATTACATCTACATGTAAATTGCTTTTTTTTTCTTCTCTCTTTACCTCCCATTTCATGTTTTGCTCATTTTCAATAGAGGTTCGATACAATTTATGATCCAAACCTAAATCAAGGCAAATGCTGAATGAGCATTACTGTACTGTTTTTTCATTTGTGGTGCCTCCTTTGCCATACTGCTGATCTAGATTTGTGAGTGTTGTCTCTTGAATCCAACACAGTGCCCTTCATTTTAGGTTTAAGTAGGAAATTAATATGTTGATCACTTGCCTCAAGGAATTTCAGGTGTCACTAAGAAGCAGTTGCTGTAATTTTAAGGACTAGTACGGCTATTACTCAAGCTACTATTATTATGTGGTAGGACTGAACTGGGAAATTAATATGCTGATCACTCTCTGTTTGGTTATTACTTAATGCTATTACATAATGCTGAGTACTGGTTGTTGCTTGCAATATGATCACTATCTGTTTGGTCACCAGTTCCCAGAATGATTTGCCTGAACTAAAACTGAAGATTGCTATTATCTTCTATTTTCTGCTCATTTCTTGGCTGCTAATATCTTCATTTGTTTGCTTGAACCTTGAGTGTACTTGACTATTTCAGTTCAAGTACTTCACTAGTACATGGGACCCCTTTTAACATATGTTCAGTTTGATTTTAATGTTTGTTACCCTTGCCTCTGTAGGAAACATGCTAACCTTTATGGTTGGTTCAAAGCAAACATTTGAAGTATCCCTAGCAGATGTTGCACAAACCCAGATGCAAGGAAAAACAGATGTTCTCTTAGAGTTTCATGTTGATGATACTACTGGAGCCAATGAGGTTTGTAGTGGACAGTAGTTGTAGTGGATCCACTCATATTTTCTGCATTGCCAATGAGGTGCTAGTCGATCTCATTTGGATACATGTAGCTGATACTGTAGACTTATCATTGATGAATCATTGATTCATGTTTGTAATGGCTGACCATATATGTATGTCTTAGTGACTGTTTGGACTTGGTCATGAATGAATCTATTTGTACGAGAAACGTGCACAATGATGTTACTTTTGTATTAATTTGCAACCAAATGGACTTTTATTTTTTTTAAATGCATTTAAATGATCTCGTCAAACCATCTGTCGCTAAAAACATTTGTAACTTCAAATTGTCTGTCACTATAGAGTACTGAGAGACAATCTGTCGCTAAAGAGTAGCAGCAGACTATCTGTTGCTAAAAAAATTCAGGGCAACGGACTGTCTGACGCTAAAGATGTTTAGCGACAGGACTTACAGCGTCTGCAGAAGTCTGTCGCTATAACTTTTTAGCATCAGACTGTCTGTCGTTGTAGCCGCTTTTAGCGTTTGACCGTCCAACGCTAAACTTGGTGTTGTGGTGTAGTGCCAGTGGGACGAGCATTACACGCTGTATATACGGCATGCCGGCTTCCTCGAGCTTGTCCGTGTTGTCAACTACGGTCTTCCGCCCCTTGACCCAGCACTACTTACTGCAGCTGTAGACAAGTGCCTTTCTTATACATAAACATTCTTATAACAAATTTGAGGCAACTAACAGTCGTTCTATTCTTATAACAGGTGGAGGCCTGAGACCCACACGTTTCATCTACCTTGCGGCGAGATGATCTTGACCAAGCAGGACATGAAGGCTATCTTTGGCCTTCCGTTGGGGGGACTTCTAGTGACAGGGATAGTTGACAACGATCACTAGAGGGAGCTGGTGGCTCAGTTCACTGGCTTTCTTCCACCGGACGACGAGGCTTCCAAGAAAAATAAGTGAGCAATTCAAGCCTATTTAATACTTGCATTGCTTTCCTGCAGTCATCGGGTCTCATTTTCTTTGGTTAATTTCAGGAAAAGTTCTGGTGTTTCGTTGTCCTGGATCACAGAGCGCTTTGATTACTTGGACCCACAGGCTGAGGAGGCTTAGATCGACAGGTTCGCTAGAGTGTGGCTCTGGCACTTCCTTGGTGCTTTCCTCTTCCCAGACGCCTCAGACAACACCATCAGCTGGATCTTTCTTGACATACTACGCCAGCCGTGGGAGAACATAGCGGCGTACAGCTAGGGCAGCGCAGTCTTGGCATGGATGTATCGACAGCCGTGCGTTGCCTGCCGTCTCACCTCAAGGTATGCAAACCTTGGGGGTTGCTCCTACCTACTCCAGGTTTGGTGTTGGGAACGATGGCCCATTGAGAGGCCCCTTAATACTGGTTTATCGGTAAGTACTTCGGTTCACTATATTCTTCGAGGCAGTTACATATGATGAGATTATTAATGGCTAATTCATTATCATGTTCAATGCAGCAATGGAACGGGCATGATACACTCCCTACAGCTCGGTATATCTGGGCGAAAGCAGAGTTAGTTAGAGGGAATGCGAGGCTCAAGTACAGGGAGTACATGGACGGTCTCGACATCCTGACATAGCACCATGTTACGCTCTCTTTACTATCATACCTGTGTCTTATTCGATGTACACTATATCACAACCTAACTCAATTACAAAATGTTCAGGTGCATTGGTGTCCTTGGGATGCTCCGGAGCTCGAGTACTATCTGAGTCTTGTCACTAGGGATGAGTCAGACGAGTATCGCTGCAACGTCCCTCTTATTTTCTTCCACGGGGTCGAGATTCACTTGCCCATCAGGGTCTGTAGACAGTTTGAAAGAATGAACTGTCCACCACCGCTTTACTCCAACCAAGGATTGCACGGGTGCGTTATCGATTAATATCAAAGCTACAATTCAGAGGTGTGTGTGGTACAACTAACATCGTTTTGTTGCAGGTATGACCGTAGGAAGAGGTACAATACCAAGGATTGGCGCGTGACACACAACACGCACATCCTTTTGTGGGAGACTAGGGAACGACAGCCGGTCCATGCGGGTCCTCCACACGACTAGCACACCTTCGACGAGTACCTACGGTGGCTTCACAGGTCTTCGAGGACACATATCAAGCCCCCGTACACTAAGGAGGCGATTAATGAGGACTTAGAGGAAGATGTGATCGAAGATGTGTACGACGTTGCCACTAGAGAGGACACACAGCTACAGAGAGCCCCGCTTCAAAGATACGTGGTAAGATACTTGAATGGTACAATTTGTTATCCTTTTGGTATTAAGTATGTGTACTAAAACTGTCCAACCGCATTTCTGTACCCAGGCGACACAATTGTCAAGGATGTCCAACGAAGCAGCGTTCCGGCTTCACGAGTCTAGAGGGCAGGGGCTAGGCGTTCTCGAGGCTTTTATGGAGGTAAACATAAACTTGTCCGTTCGGAAAATATTTCTTTAG